ACAAGCTTGGTAGTGTCCAAACGGGAAACAATGAAGCCTATGAAGGCGAGCCTATGAAGTAGGGTGGGTGGAGCATGTAGGGTACGGGCGAGACAATGAAAATGTGTGTGCGTGGCAATGAAGGGCCTGGGAAACCACAAAACAGACGGAGTAGTTACTTGATGGTGGCGTCTTTCATCCGTTCCAGAGAGGCGTCGGTGTGGTACTCAGCGCGGATAAACTCCTTGTACCACTCGACCATCTTGACAATGGCCGTGCGGATATCTTCTCGTCCTGGGAGATTGATGATGAGGGGCAGGACCTGCATCATCGCCCGATGCTCTGAAGCTGAAAAGCAGGCAGTGGATGTGAAGTAGGCCCACGCCGAAGGAAGACGGAGCACAGACGCTGGTGTGGCCTCCTTCAAAATCTTGTATCGCCTAGACGTAGAGCAACAGTTCGACAGGGCGCGGAAAACAAGCACGGAGGTGAGAAGCATGAAGCAGGGCGCGGAAAGCAAGCACGGAGGGGAGTAGCATGAAGCAGGGCGCGGAAAGCAAGCACGGAGGGGAGTAACATCATGGAGCAGGGCACGGAAAGCAAGCACGGAGGTGAGTAGCATGAAGCAGGGCGCGGACAGCAAGCACGGAGGGGAGTAGCATGAAGCAGGGCGCGGAAAGCAAGCACGGAGGGGAGTAGCATGAAGCAGGGCGCGGAAAGCAAGCACGGAGGGGAGTAACATCATGGAGCAGGGCGCGGAAAGCAAGCACGGAGGGGAGTAACATCATGGAGCAGGGCACGGAAAGCAAGCACGGAGGTGAGTAGCATGAAGCAGGGCGCGGACAGCAAGCACGGAGGGGAGTAGCATGAAGCAGGGCGCGGAAAGCAAGCACGGAGGGGAGTAGCATGAAGCAGGGCGCGGAAAGCAAGCACGGAGGGGAGTAGCATGAAGCAGGGCGCGGAAAGCAAGCACAGAGGGGAGTAGCATGAAGTAGGGCGCGGAAAGCAAGCACGGAGGGGAGTAGCATGAAGCGGGGCGCGGAAAGCAAGCACGGAGGGGAGTAACATCATGGAGCAGGGCACGGAACAACTCACTCCAAAAGAATCTTCCGTTCTTTCGGAGTCAGCTTCATCACAAGGCACTTCATGGCATGCAGCCATATGCCCTGCTCCCAGATGTGCATGATGTCCGGGGGGACAGCGAGGTACGTGTTGCCCCAGAGAGTTTTTGCGAATTCCCAGTCCCACAAAAGGCTCTGCGTTGGGGGTCAAGGACACAGAGTCACTATGGCGGGTCAGGGTAAGAAATACGAACATCAAGCTGCAGATTGGATTAGGTTTTCAAGCATACTAGCCATTGGTGTATACGGTGAGGGAAACCTGATGTAGACCGCTACGATGCACGCAGTACAAGCGCACCTTCACAAAGTGTGTAGAGGACTTCTTCTTCACCGCCTTCAAGGCCTTTTTGGTCTTCGCGGCTTTCATCTCCTTGTAAAAATCCGTCTGACCCTTGACAGTTCGGAGGACAATGGTGTCTTCCTGCTTCTTTTTGGTTTTCGCAGATTCCTTCTGTCCCTCGACATTTCTGGGGACAATGGTCTCGTCCTGCTCGTCTAGGCGCTTCTTATCAGTTGGCTGTTGAGTCAACTCAAAGTTCATCTCATCCAGGCGCTCCTTTTCAGCCAAGCACAACGAGCACGGATGGTGTGAGTTGCATGCCATCGTACAAGTGATCTTGGAAGACTCCGGGTGATCTGCCACCCAAGAATAAAGGAGCGTGAATGCTCTATACTGCACACCCGCACTGTCTTCCACCATCACACCGCCCCTGCACAGCGGCCAGGATGAGGGGGGAAACAGGGGGGGGTAAAGCGAGGATGGGAGAACATGTTAGATATGTCAGAGATGGTGTGAGCATGGGTTGCGGTAAGCAAGCAGATGAAGGACGGTTAGGAGGAGGGGGACAGCAAGCATGGAGGGTTTCAACGCCCAGGAGACGGTGTTCGGGAGGAACCGGAATGGTATTAGGTGAAGCATGGTGGCTGGCAGCAGAGTAATGACTGAATCCGGCGTCATGGGGAGCATGTGAAAGAAGAACAGAGGAGAAGGGGGGTCAAAAAGGGAGGGGAGTGTGTATGAATCAGGCAATGAAAATGAGTAGGGTAGTGGGGTGGATTCTGGAGAGTACAAGGGATGCGCGCCTGTGGGCGAGAGTAGCAGTGTCTCACCCCGAAAGATGTGAAGCCGCCTTTAAATCTCGAATCATGATTTCTGCAGCGTCCTGGAACACTCGAACCTTCTCTTCTGGCGAGAGGTCAGCTGGGATATTAGGCAGGAGCCCGAGAAGCTCAGTGCCTCCTTCAAGCCACCTAGCCCATTCTGGAATGTTCCCAAAGGACAACAGAAATGGGTGGGCAGATTGGCGCCCGTTGAACGATAGATTGGTCTGGTCCGAGAACAGAATGAGCGCTATAACTATGCCAAACTTCCGCACCCTTTCCTGCCACAGTGATGTAAAAGGCAAGGAAAGATGTATTGGATCCTAGGTTTCGATGCTCGTGTCCAACGCGACATGAGATGGCGTGGAACTTACCCAGGCCTCGAGCATCCAATCCGTGTTTGCAGGGGTACTGTAGCGGTGAACCCCATCAACCTTCCACTCGTGAGGCATGATGCTGAATCCCTTGACAGCCGACATCTTCTTGAACATGGCTTGAAGGAGCTGAGGGTGTTAAATATGGAAACAATGATGGAAAACAGAAGCGTAGGATTGATGGTTCCCTTTGGACCCATGGTTTAGTCGTCATCACTAAACACATTCCATTATGACGAACGTCACACTGCACCAGGGATACACTCACAGTTATCGCGTTTCGGCGCTTGAAGGTGAGAAACCCAATTTCGTGATCCACTTCGATCTCCTCGACGATCCATTCGTTCTCCGCTCCAAGGTCAAAGCTGTTCTCGTACTTCTCCATGTCCCTGTAGCTGTTCCAATCGTCCAGCTGCGTTGGATCTAATTTCGGATGTCTAACTAACTGTATCGTGTCGTTTATCGCCCCGTTGGTAAGGCCGTGAGATCGTGCCAAAATGCATATTTCTGCCTTAACATCGAGAATCTCCTCTGTAGGAGCTTCTTCCCCCACGAGTGTGGTGCTACACGTAGGGACTGCATCTGGAACACGCTCAGCCGGCTGCTGGTGCTGCTCAACTCCGTTCGGAACTGCTGCTAAGGGAATCGAATGCCTTGGCGCGGGAAGGGTTGCTGTTGCGAACGGGACAAAGGTATACTGCCTCTCAACGTCAAGACCCAGCTTCTTTCGTTTAGCAGCCTCTTGAGCCTTGCGTCTTTGGGCCTGCTTACAGCCTCCATGGTTAGCTTGATGGCTACGTACTGTTTGATAGCAGTACACACGCTTATTGCAGAACTCGCAACCCTGACCCTCCATTGAGCATATCTGTCCCCAGTACTGAATGGTGTTTGGTGGACCAGTTTGGGATGTGAATGGTAACACTGCTGTCCGTGGTGGTGAGATAGCGGCTGATCGTAAGGTCGATAGTTTACCAAAAGGCGTGGGAAGGATTTGGCGCGAACATGAATGGCGATCCGAGATTCGAGTGATGTTTCTGGTGACCCCTACTGGCGCTTGGTCATCCAGTGTCAGAAGTTGGGTGGGTTGCTTTAGGTGAGGGTGTGAAGCTGCTCGAAGCGGCAAATCACAATGTTTATTGGTGCGCGACAACCGCGCTGTTGGGCGTTTTCGCCAAGCGACGCTCATTCTCAGCATCTCCTGGTGTAACTGGGTTCGCATGCACAAACGTGCTTTCGCGTCTGGGCAGTCCGACGAGGTTTGGTAACCGATTGCAAACAAGTTGGCGAGGTTCGTTTGCGCTTGCGACCTCGACTCGACCTCTCTGTCACCACCATTCCCACTCACACGCCAACTGTGTCAGAAACACACAAGCCGCAACAACGCGATTGGATAAGAAAATCCTGTCAGACTGCCCAACACTATTCACCATGTTGACAGAATATCAAAAGCACGCTATTCGTTGACGACGTATGGGCGCAGGAATTTAGCACAAAGTTGACCAATAAGACGCCGTGTAAGAAACAAAGGTGCAATGCCAGGGCGTGCGTCTTTGTTTCAAGAACTCCAGTGCCTTCTTCGACTTTCCGACCAACTGGCTTGGCCACTGAATCTCGACCCTTAGCTAGAGCAGGATCTTGCACTTCGCATGAGTTTGCTAACTCGAGGAATGGCGGATGAGGACATACCCAAGTTATCGCGATGTTGTTTCCAGCAAATGAGCATGCCATCTCCGTTTGGAGGGGGGTGGCTTGAAATCAAGCCCTCGGATTACCGCACGTTGGGAAACGAGCAGTGGATTAGTGGAACGATTATCGAGTGGCTCTCATCGTGAGTCGTTTGCAAGTAATAGTAAACGGAAATGCTTAATCTTGCTTTTAGTCACTTACTGGCTACCTCGACTTACTATAATTCCATGTCGTACGTGCAGGATGTTACAGTATGAGAGCGGACTCGACAATGCCTCGTGGCTTTGCACATCACCTTATTTCTGGACCCTCGTAGCGCGGCCGGGGTCTAAGAGGGTCACTAAGCAGGCATATGGACTTGACATCTTATCGTTCAAGCACGTGCTTGTTCCGATTAACTTGGAGTAAGTGCTTGGCATTTTTAATCATGATTTGAATGTAAACTACGTTGCAACTAACGAACGTGTTTGTCTCGATTATGCAGTGCGCACTGGAGCCTTGCTGTCATCGAGATTAAACATGATCCGGGGTCCCTTATCCCGATCAAGTGTGTCCTGTGGCATGCGGACTCATATGCAACTCACGTCGACATTGATGGACCCTTGAGAAAGTGAGATTCATGCTGGTAATAGAACCCCTTGTTAAAACGTACCTTTCTCAACACACCTTTCTTAAGGAGCTACTTTTATGAGCAATCCGTGTCAATGCGCAGGTGCTTGATGAGGCAGGTCATGAAGCGCTACGCATGGGTCACGGAGTCAGAAGCGACGGCGTGGGCAGCATCGATCCAGTTAAACGCCATCGATGTATGTGTATGCACGCCGTGCATCTGGCGGATGAGTGGAGGAGTGTGGTGTGGGATAGGCCGCGCATGGACAGGCATGGGATGCGCGGATGAGAAGGGGAGGGAGAGTTGGGAGCTGCGCATGCACAGGCATGGGATGCGCGGATGAGTAGGGGAGGGAGTGGTGGGAGCTGCGCATGGACAGGCATTGGATGCGCGGATGAGTAGGGGAGGGACAGTTGGGAGCTGCGCATGGACAGGCATGGGATGCGCGGATGAGAAGGGGAGGGAGAGTTGGGAGCTGCGCATGCACAGGCATGGGATGCGCGGATGAGTAGGGGAGGGAGAGTTGGGAGCTGCGCATGGAGGCGCATGGGATGCGCGGATGAGTAGGGGATGGGAGAGTTGGGTGCTGCGCATGAACGAGCTTGGGATGCGCGGGTGAGTAGGGGATGGGAGAGTTGGGTGCTGCGCATGAACGAGCTTGGGATGCGCGGATGAGGAGGGGAGGGAGAGTTGGGTGCTGCGCATGAACGAGAGGGGGATGCGCGGGTGAGTAGGGGATGGGAGAGTTGGGTGCTGCGCATGAACGAGCTTGGGATGCGCGGGTGAGTAGGGGATGGAGAGAGTTGGGTGCTGCGCATGAACGAGCTTGGGATGCGCGGATGAGGAGGGGAGGGAGAGTTGGGTGCTGCGCATGAACGAGCTTGGGATGCGCGGATGAGGAGGGGAGGGAGAGTTGGGTGCTGCGCATGAACGAGCTTGGGATGCACGGGTGCGTGGAGTAGGAGGGGGGGATGTAGAATGCAGCTCATGATGACGCCTAATCGAAGCACCATCCGTTACTTGTGCGTCCTGCAGGTGCGTCAGCAGGACAACGAGAATGACTGTGGTGTTTTTGTAATGCGTGTCATTCATACGCTTGTCGAGACCAAGTTCGACAGCTTGAATGCGTGTGTCTTGGCCGGGACACCAAGACAGTGGAGGCGCCAATACCGTCACGACTTGGCTAAGTGGTCCTGTGTCTATCACAAGGCATGTGCCACGGTACATGCTGATTGATACCCTTAATCCTGCTCAGTGCTGGTTAGTGACATGCATTAGCACCTGACGATCATTAGTAATGTAATGCTCATTGTTAGTTGTATACTTGCATACCAATACGGTAACTGATTAGCACCAGATGGTAAGCTGTAAGCCAACCATTACATAGTGTCAGGACACTTGGGGGCACAACATGGCGGGAGACGAGAGGGCTGAAGTCATGCTAAACCTGATGAGTAGGCTGAAGTGCAGGATGCTGGCCAGTATTGCTGAACAACGTCCAATAGGGATGGCAGGCAAGCTTCACCTACTGTACACTTAAATGAAAAACGTCCTACCTACCTCTGCGCACAAGATACGATGCTTCGAATCAGCTAAAATGTGTAGTAATGTGACCCAAAGGCCTGCTCTATCTTCCCCATGGCTGCAACATGTACACCGCATGCGAGTTGTTGATATTAACGCGAGAGTGATTGCTATCGATTACGAACGTTGATACTGGACCCTGACGACCATAAGATGATGCGGTTATTGATGCCACGCCATGTATTCACCCTATATTTGAGACTAAAGATGCAGGATATTTAGAGATGTGCAATAATGTGGCATCCAGAACACTGCTCGAGGACGTTTGCTTCTGACGTTTCGTGATACTAATTATATTGCTGAGGTTGTTATGAAACTATATTTTGATGAACGGATGTTACTTTGTATGGCTTTGATCCTGTAAGTTTGAAAAACAATGTCACCGGAATATGCAAAACTCATACGTCACGACACGTGTAACATTCCTCCTTCAACTCGCATCGCCACGGAAGCGAGGTTCCAACGCTACCGCGAGGTGTATTCTCGAGCCGCGATTTCTTGAACCAATCCGGTTCCCAACGCACATCGTGCACCGACAAGCGCCACCAATTTGCTTTTGTCACATTGCTTTTTTTGGGCCCGGCAGTTTTCCAATACCCGTTAGGCTGCCGAAGTACTTACTAGTTATGGTCCAGCTTTTAGAATGCAGAACAAGCAGTGTTGGAGAAACGGCGTTCTAGCCCATTAGGCTGCTGTTGCGTAGTATTGTAAACACTGACTGCCAGCGCGTTCCATGCAACTTCAAGGGCAGCAAAACTGTGGCGCTGCATTCCCAACCAAACCCCACTACCCGACGTGCTTTCATCCGGTAGTTCATTACAGGAACAAGCATCTTGATGCCACCGGAAGTTGAGACCACGGACCTTTCACGTTCGAAGCACCTCGTAGTAAGGCCTGCTGGTATTGGTTGCAGTTCTCGACACGATACTCTCGTACGGAAGGCACGTCAAGCAACGACTTCCTGTTAGTCGAAGTCGATGTTCCCCTTGGCGCTTCAGCTAGAGGTGCATTTCTGTTAGTGGTAGGCACGTATAGCAGTCCCGCATAGCCGTTCGCGTAGTAGGCACGTCATGCTTTGTCGCGGTGGTGTTGTTCTCAGCAAGGCGCGTCCAGCAATGGCGCGCCGCTGTCCTGGCTTGTACGACGCGATTCACGGCCACGTAGTGAGATTGCGCGCTGCTGTACTGGTTGGCACGTCCAGCTTGCGCGATGCGGTACTGACCGGCACGTCCCGATTGCGCGCTGCGGTTCCTTGCTCCTTGAATACCTATTTGTACAAGATTGGTTCTATAGGGAAAGCACTCCTCAGTTTCGTAACTGTTAAACGGTCAAATTTAGCGTCATTGCTAGCAGAATGGCGGACATCGGTGTTATCAATCAGCAAACCAATGCTAGTGCGCCCCTCGAGAGCGCAGGAGCTTTACAACAACCGGGCGACGCTACTACCGAAGCGGAACAGAGGCTGCATGACACGATGACACCTTACAATACCTCTCAGCTAGTTGTGAGGTATCGCCGGAGGAACACGTCTACTGCGCGCGATGCCGAGGAGTCGGAAGGTGACTCTTCATCGGACAGTGATGATTCTGAGGACGAGCCTTATGCTAGTCGCGGAGGATCACGTGGGGGGCGGAGGGGTCATAAGCTGAAGCCCTTAGACCAATTCAAACGTTCTTCAGATAAGAAAGGTAAGCGACAAGCTCTTTATATCGTTCTTGTGTCTTGTCTTATCTGTTTTACCATAGCTCATCATTAGCGTGATTGAATACGGACCCAAACCAGAGAGGTACTGCACTTGTCTGACACGAGCAGCTCCTATCTATGTTTTTGGGTAGTAGGTACCCTCGTTGCCAAGAAAGACAAAAAGGGGAGACAGGGGATGTTGACGAAGTGGAGCACCCGTCTGCGAAAGGACATGAACGCGAGGGCGAGCTTGAGGGCGAGCGTGAAGTTAAGGGTGACGCATCCGCACCCTCAAGTGCACCGGATGATCGACCGGATGGTGCTGAGATAGATCGAGGTCATGTGGGGGGTGGACGAGAGAGCCGCGGCGCGGAGGAGGGGGGTCAGGGAGGCGTGTCAGGGAGAGTGAAGTCACGGCGCCGCAGGGCTGGGACGAAGAAAACCGTCAAGGAAGAGTCTTCCGATGGCGACGAAAGTGGGGAGGAGGAATCGGGGAGCTCCTCCGGGAGCGAGGAGAAGTATGATGATGAGGAGGAAGACGAAAGCGAGGACGCGGAATTGGAGTCGGAGAGTGAGGAGGAAGGCAGGAGAGGGGGAAGCAAAGCTCGGGGTGGACACCGAAAGGGATCGAGGGGAAAGCGTGGTCTCACAAGGAAGGAAAAGAAAGGCCGTAAGCGGGAGAGGGCCCGGGAACATGCAAGAGCGCAGCGCTTGGAACGTGGGGAAACCAGGGTGCGTAAGGAGCGGCGTATTTTGAGTGCCGATCTTGGGTTCTACAGCAACATGAGGGTTTTGGGGAACACAGCAGATGCTACAACGGAGAACCGACGGGAGAACATTAGGATGAAACGGGGGGCTTCAGACGACCCCTATGCTGCACTCGCTGCAGGGTCCTCATGGGGAAAGGGTGGCCAGCCGGTTCGCGGGCGGAGTGGCGTGAAAGTTGAACTCCATCGTGCTGCTGACAATAGCAAGCATGGTGGAATAGACGATCTGGAGTGCAGCACTAGGCAGGGGGTCGAGCGGAGCAGTGGCGTGCAGGTCGGACACCAGCAGCGCGCAGCTGCAAATGACAATCATGGTGCAGGATGTCAGCCAGGTGACAGACCTGATATCTTGCCTGACCTTGCGGGAGACTCCGCACGGCGCACGCAAGAGGGTGAGGCGATTGTATTTCCATTCGGTAGCGCTGCTCTATCACCCAACAGTAGCATGCAGCAATTGTTTCAGGCATTGCAGGAGGCCAACAGGAAGATTGCGGAGCTGAAGGCTGCTCCAAAGCCTGTGGGAAATACGGCAGGAGTAGGAACACCGGTTCCACCTCTGCAGGCAATATCCAGAGAGCTGCACTCCCAGGAATCTGCGCCCGTGTGTGTGGCCGAGAGTGCTGTACAAGGCCAGCCAATCGCCAGGAGACATGGGATGCCTACTGCCACGAATTTGAGGGTAGGTTGCCCTCACATAGCTGGTCTCTCTGTTTCCGCATCGTTTCGAGCCTCTTTCATCACATGTTTCTTCCATACCCCCATCGTTGTTTCCCCATTCACTGCATATATGTCACACCCCGTCCAACTCAGTTTCCCCTTTACTATCATGCATGGCTCCATCATTAACAGATATTTACCTGTTATAACTAGGCAGAATGGGCTGCATCATGCCTGGCAGCCCATCCTCGGGTCTCCATCTTTCTGTTTTGCATCACATTCATCTCTGTTTGTCACATTCGAAGCATGCACTGCTCCCCATGTATCATATTCTGCACCTTCTCTGCATGCCATGCGAACCTTAGTTCCTGTTTTCCCCTTTCATTGGATGTTCCCCAACACCCCGTTTTTTGGGAACACTTCATTAGCTCTACATCGAAGAAACCAGGGATCGCATGTGTATGGAAGCTGAGGACCACGAGATCAACTTCTACCCATCGTTTGAGAAGAGGATCTTGGTCTTGCATGCGGTTATATCGGAAAACTATGTGGTGTCACTGCTTCAGTTGAAGGAGGCCATGCAGGACCAAAAGCGCATTGACACTTTCAAGCGAGTATGGACGCAATGGAAGAATGAGCGTGCATTCTACATCAAAAGGGCGGTGCTCGAGGCTTTGGGGGTGGCAGTTACCGGACTGCGTGCCTCGGAGTTACACATCGATGTGGAGCTGAAGTGCGACCTGTGGGACACCTACCGCCCTGGTGAGTATTTTATTGCATTATTCTTGTTGTTGCATGAGTTCGGGCAGCTTACACCCCATCCTACTTCCCTGGTCAATGTGTTTCTCTTCAGTTTTGAGTCCTCCTTTCATTCATCCGGCTGGTATGGCATGCGAATACCCCAGTGTCCCCTCCCTGACCTCCCCCTAAACATCGTAGGTGCTGATGATCCCCTAAGCACCTGGGGGAACGATGATGAGAGTGGCCTCCCATTTGCAAACCAGTGTTTCTTCAACGCTGCCATGGACGCGTTTGGTGAACATGCTGTGGGGACAAAGCTGTGTCTCAAAGCATATCATATCGCATGGATCATCATGGTGGTAAGTTACCTTTCCCCCTTCAACCCAAGCCCTTACCCATTCATTTGCGTTTTCTAGCAACCCTTTGTGCACTACACCCGTTTAGACTAAGTTTCTTGTTTCTTTGAGTGCACTGCATGGTGCACTACATAGTGCACTACATGGTGCACTCACGGTTTCCTACTACATGCATGTATAACACCTCCTGTTTACTAGATTCACCCATACCGGCTTGCTCCCAACCCCATTTTGCGTTTCCCAACAGTGCTGGTTTCTTGTTCAAGTTTTTTTCATTGATCCTTTAAACCCAGCATGAATGGCAGCGACCCTGGCTCTCTATATTGTTGTCTTAGCATGCACCACACTTCAGCCCTGCACCCCAATGTCAGCAAGATTCTGCCATACACCTTTTATTGTTACCACCTTGCATGCTTAGGCTCTCAACCGATCCCTTACTGTGTTTACCATCCGTGCATGCCTTGCATGGTGCTCCCATTACTTCACTGCTTCCCATGCTTGAACCATGATTGACAAATCATTGAATGCCCTCCTGAACAGATCGATTATGGGCTGTCCAAAACGAAGAAGACAACCATGAACCTCACCAACTCCCATCGCAAGAACACCAAGTGGGTGACAAGTGTCCGCGCCATTGTGAAAAGGGTGGTGAGGGATCACTTCACCCGGGCCAGTCCGACCTACAACCCACGCATGAAGGGATTTGAGTGGGGGCCATTTGGCCTTTTTGTCCACGAGTCGGGCTTTGAGGAGTACAGGAGCACGCGCACTCCGGGTGCAACGGACATGTAAACAGTGCGAGCAGAGGAGGACCAGCAGTGGGGTGCCATGGAAGCAGCAGTGGAGGGGACAACTGCTGAACCGGACCGGGGTGTGATGTGGAGGAGAATCAATGGGGAGAGCAGCGTAGGCACGAAAGAAGGGGGAACAGCGGAGGCATTGCAGCTGGGAGAGGCAATAGGGGATCTGCTTGGTGGCAGCAATGTTGTGATTCTGGGAGGAGCATGAGTCGAGTGGGCAGAGGTAAGCAAAACAGTGAGGGGAGAGGGGAAGCGGCAACAAGAGATGAAGTAGAGCAGTCACAGCAGTGGGAGGGGCGGAGAAGGGGCAACAGTGGGTCAAAACAGAGGAGCCACAACAGGGGGTGAGATCAAAACGAGCCCAGTGGGGGATTAGAGTAATAACAACAGTGGAGGGAGCTCCAAAGAGGCAGCAGCGGGGGGAGCAGAGAAGAGGCAGAGCAGTCGGGGAAGTGGAGAAGGGACAGCAGCAGGGGGAGCAGAGGTCACAGCAGTGGGGGGAGTGGAGATGGGGCAGCAGGGGGGGGGGGGGAGCAGAGGAGCCACACCAAGAGGGGGAGCGATGAAGAAGCAGCAGTGGGGTAAGCAGAGTAGCCACATCAGTGGGGGAGCGAAAATTGGGCAGCAGCGGGTCAAGCACAGTAGTCACAATAGGAGAGAGCAAAGAAGCAGCAGTGGTTCAAGAAAAGCAGTCACTTCAAGGGTGGGAGCAAGGAGGAGGCAGCAGCGGGTCAAGTAGAGTAGTCACAACAAGGGGGGGGGGATAAAGAAGAGGCAGCAGCCGGGGAACAAGAGTAGTCACGGAGCAGTGGGGATAGTGGACAAGGGGCAGCAGCATCAGGAGCAGTGGTGGCAGCATTGGGGGGAGTGGAGAAGGTACAGCAAAGGGGGGAGCAGAGTAGTTACAGCAGCGGGGGGAGCAAGAAGAGGCAACAATGGGTCACGCAGAGTAGTCACAGCAGCGGGGGGAGCAAGAAGAGGCAACAATGGGTCACGCAGAGTAGTCACAGCAGCGGGGGGAGCAAGAAGAGGCAACAATGGGTCACGCAGAGTAGTCACAGCAGCGGGGGGAGCAAGAAGAGGCAACAATGGGTCACGCAGAGTAGTCACAGCAGCGGGGGGAGCAAAGAAGAGGCAACAGCGGGTCAAGTAGAGTAGACACAACAACGGGGGAGCAAAGAAGAGGCAGCAGCAGGTCAAGTCGAGTAGACACAACAGTGGGGGAGCAAAGAAGAGGCAGCAGCGGGTCAAGCAGGGGGAGGGGGGGGGGAGGGCTGAGACTTATCCAGCAGCAGGGAGGAGTAGAGTAGTCACAACATTGGGGGAAGTGGAGAATGGTCACCAGATGGGTTGCAGACGTGGGGCTGACCAGCAGGGAAGCATGAGCCGGGGGAAGTAATGGACGGCAAGCAGTGGGGTGGGCCTTGTAGGACCAGCATTGTAGGTAGGAGCAGAAGAGTAGCTGGAACAGCATTGTAGGTACGAGCCGAAGAGTAGCTGGACCAGCATTGTAGGGTTTAGTGGTGTAGTGCTAGGAACGAAAACAATGTTGTAGTTGCCTTTTACATTCCTAATGTCGTGATTTTTGCAAGCAAGAATTGTATCTCGATGGAACCCATGGAAATTGCTTTGTGGTGATGGGTGAAGGTAATATTGAATGCTGTGCAAAGCATAATTATGGCTGTGTACAAGGTCAGGAAACTTACATGACACTCTTATCCTACTATATAATTTACACATGATAGCATTTTGCCAAAACACAGGAGAATCCAATTCAAACTTATAACAAAGTGCAACAAAGCACCAGGTTTACACTGCAAAAATGTCAAGACATAACACAATCATGTCCTAAAGGAGTATTCCGAAACTCCAGGAGAACTTACGTTGCATGGATTCAGAACCATTTCGGAACCTGCCAATCATCCGAAAAGCATCTGACACATCATCCAAAAAAAGTTCGATACTTTCTCCTAGAAAAGTTCGAACCCCTACATTTTGAAAACACCCGAACAAAGTCTTCAATCACTCTTCAAGCATGGTATTCTGACACTTCATTTTTGTGATGGTCACGCTGGTTGAACAAAATTCTCCAACACAACTCAACTAACCAGGCTAACCTGAAATCGCCTCTTAAAATATGCAGACCTTCCCACAATCTATGCCCTTTCCATATCCTCTCTGATTGTCTACTACCTTCTACCAATCCTTGGTTCATTTCTTCGTGCTTGAATCTCTCTCTTCCATGTATACACCAAAAAAAATCTTGTTAGCAATGCCTTGACTGTGTCTATTCTGCCTATTACCTGTCATTTCTATCCATTGCAGTGATATTAGCCAGAACAACCTCGCTGGCCAACTCCCACCAGCAATTGGCAGTCTCACTCATCTTTCATACCTGTAAGGCATTCTAGCATGTTGAAGTATTGCAACGTCCATCATAGCAACCTAGGAGCATTTCATGAAGAGGAGGCATACAAGGTGTTCCAGTCGAGTACCATTGCCCAAGTTTGTTTAAAGCCACAGGCATAAGGTACACAAGGACCGACCTGCGCACCAGGAATCTGTATGACGATGGCTTAACTGGGTCCATTCCAGATTCCATCAGTGCCTTGGACAGGCTAACCTATCTGTGAGTATGAGTGGTGGGAGCATGCACACATGAGTGTGATCATGTAGAGTCGGGCATATGCAGAGATGAGCCTGAGCAACGCATGAGCAATGGCCTGTAACCAATTCGTGATGAGCCGTGGGTGACCATCATGGTATGATGGCCATCCAGTGGCCAGCTTGTCGTGAGCCGAAGGTTGGTCCTGCCAGTTTTTTAGTGCCAGCGATCCTATCCATGAAGTGTAGCCGAGGGGAGCCACAAGCTCGTGTGGCTTGCCTGTTGCCGGCTTGTCAAGAGAGGAATGTCATGAAAAGGAGTTTTCGCATGCACCAATGAGTGTGAGATATGAGAATATACGACGATGACAGATAAGAGCGTGCATCAGGATACAGTAAGGCTCTCACAATGCATCCAGCTTGCAACACAGATGAGACATAGACAGTGGACCATTTGCGCCCATAGAGGTAGGAGGTATATAATTTACGAAAGGCCGAACTTGGACTTCCTTGGCTCAACCTTCTTCAGCCTGACAGATATCCTGTGTTGAGTCCAAGATATCTTTTCCATGGCCAAAAATAATGTCATGTTTTGCTTTATAGGCACATGCTTGACTGGATTCAATCACGCTGGTTGAACAACAATCCCCACCACAACTCAATTAACCATGTTATATCCTTGGTTCATTTCAACGTACTTTGATCTCTGCACATTTGAAACCTCTTGCATGTATAGACCAACAAATAACTTGTTAGCAATGCCCTGACTGTGTCTAATACATCTTTTATTTGTCCATTCCATCCGTTGCAGTGACATCAGCCAGAATAACCTCACTGGCCAACTCCCACCAGCAATAGGAAGTCTCGCTAATCTTACATACCTGTAAGGCATTCTAGCATGCTCAAGTGTTGCAATGTCCATCATAGCAGCCTTGGAGCGTTTAATGAAGAGGAGGTATACAAGGTGTTTCAGTGGTGAACCATAGCCCAAGAGTGCTTAAAGCCACAGACAAGAGGAACACAAGGACCGAACTTGGACTGGCCCAACCTAAACCTCCACGTCAGGCCGTCTTCGAAAGGCGGTTTTATACAAATGTATGGTTCGTCATTGTTTTCAACCTGTATAACACCTTGGCATAGTAGAGTATTGCAATGTGTTCCATACAACTCCAATAGCAACCTCAGGGCGTTTCACTTCGAGCTGAAACCCGTTTCCGATTCTTTGTTTTATAAATGCTCCATGTGCACATGCAGGAACATATCCTCGACTGCAATCACATGCCCACCTGACTACAGCAGCTGCATGGTCCCACAGACCACTTCAAGTGCTTTCTGCAGCCAGTGTGCCTCCTTCTGCACCACATGTGTCAAGTCACCACCAGGTGAGACGCTCGTTACGCAGGCAGCTGCAATTTGTACTGCCTATTCTTACATTGCTCTCATGCTGAGTGTATGAACACCACATTGCCACCCATTGAACAAGCTTTTCCAGTGTCAGATTTGTTTTCAGGTATCAGGCACCCATAGAACAATCTTTTCTAGTGTGACGCATCAGACATCCTCATAAAATGTGTTTTTTTTTTTTTTTTTTTTTTTTTTTTTTTTGCTGTTGCGTGCCTCCTCTTGGCTTTTAATGAGTAGCACCCGTTTAAACCCTTCAATGCCTTCCATTACTACCTCTCACTGTGCAAAATGTGCCTGATGCTACATCCACTTTCACCAAGCCCACCGTCATCCCCATGTCTGATTTCCCTTTCCCCTTCCCTTTCTCCATCTTCTATCCCATTATTGTACCGTCCCCATCGACAGTGCCAGAACCTTCTCCATCGCCAGCGCCAGCACCCTCCCCATCGCCAGCACCAGCACCCTCCTCATCGCCAGCACCAGCACCTTCTCCACCTCCTCCCACTTCAACTCCAGTACGCGGTGTCCCTTTCGCCGCCTCCCAAGGTTCGTTCTTGTAGGCGAACTTGACGTTCAGTCGGCCGCGCGCCCTGCCCCCAACCCTCCCCTGCAATCGTTTATGTATTTTGTTTGCCCTTACAGATGTCATGTATTATGGAGTCCTGGTGCATTACAGAAGGGTTCCGTGAAGGTGTCACATGACGATGGCACTATGCAGGACGCCTTCGGCCTCGGCATCCAACGCGCCTCGTCACTGTGACCGTAACAGTTTCTCGATTCCGCCGCTGTGTCTTCCGCTACCAAAGTTCGTCTTTTGGTCAAGCTCATGCCGCTCCAGTTACCAAAACGTGTCATGCACATGTTACTGGTTTCAGCGGCAGTTACCATCGTGCCATGGTGGCAGATCATTACAGCCAAGTCACGGCTTCACACGTATCCGATGCACGGAGTCCGTCAGATCCATGATCCAATGATCAAGATTGACCGGCCAATTTCAAGATTTGAATTGCAGCAGTGTGCAAATCGTTTCTCAGCATAGCGATTCCCCGAATATTCTCTCAACCACATCATGTGGAACACAATTTCCTCATGCCTGCCCATCACATCTTTTTGCTCTAATTATATCTCGTGCGGTGTTTGAGAGAGGGAGGGAAGGCCACGCGACGCTGATGAGCTGATCAATTAATCTCTTCTTCCCTC